AAAAAAAAACGATAAAAAACGATAAACGATAAAAAGACAATTAAAACGTGACGAGGTTCTGTCACGAGAAATGAAAACTACTTTCAGCTGAGCGTTTTCGGACTGTTCTCGAACACTGCTGCCATAGTTGCCGTGCTTCACAGTCCCATACTGCGAAATGCCTTTGGTAGACTTTGTCTGTCTCATAGTTTCTGCAACTTAGGTGTACTATTGATTTACACTTTTTGGCTGGCTTTTAGCTCATTCAGGTAGGTCTTAGCCATTTGCTAACGATGATCTGAAATATAAAACAATTTAGGGAAAGAAATTCGTCCAACGAAGCTGCGGACAAGATTGTGGGCCAAATTGATTCTCTGTTTTGGTATGTATGTATTTATTCTCACTTTGCTATCTCGTTCAATCGAGCAGTTGCTCTTATAATGCCACTGCAAGCTGCCGAGTTTGTCGATCGTAGAAATTCATTCTTGTTGGTCCTCGGAGTCTGGCTGATAGGATTCTGTCATGTCACGCCGTTCTTCTGGGGTTGGTGTATTCATCAGCCATGACCAAACATTTGTTATGTGAAATTTATCTATTTTGGGTGAAACGTGCTATCTCTACTACGAAACAGAAGGGTGGATGTGGTTGTTTGCTAGTACAACATGCGGAAATATCTTATCGCGTATTGACAGCTATACGGGCTCTGTCTTGTTGAGCGCTACCATAGTATTGGATATCATCAGTGTTACTAAACTTAAGGGAAATCAGGTACGTTATAGTTAATAGTCGGTTAATTTTGAAACGCATTTACAAGAAACCGCAAAACTCCGCCACACCCAAAAGTCTGCTCTTTGCGATTGAAAGAGTATGAATTTTGTTGCAGTGTTATTCAACCAGTGCCCCATACGTTTTCGAAGAAATTTTTCGAAACTTCGCTGGTTTTATTAAAATCTTTGATAACTATAAGAACGACACTGCAATTGATACGAGATTTGACTGAGTCAGTTGTTCAAGAATAAGTAGGACTAAGCATTTTTACTTTCGAATAGAGAAAATACTTGAAGGCAGCGTCCCTTCAAATTGGGGGTGCTGAGATTTTACAACCTTGTGATGGCGGG